TGTTTGCGGACATTAGACGCTGATCAACAATGGTACGTAACTTACTGCTTCTTGAATTCGTATCTAACCGGACTCTGACGTTACGTTTAGGCCGAAGCGATTGGGACCACAGCAAGTGTCCTCGGATTGGCGAGTGCCGTCATGGCGGTCACGGAGCGCGTAGTCAACGCCATCAAGAATGTCCGAAGCGCTCCTCAAACGATCGAAACCGTTGCTTCCATTCTATGCAACACCGACCGCACCCTCCAGTCTATTAGACAAACGCCTAGTCTGGACGACAATAACCTTATTGCAGACCAACTGAGGAACATTGAAGGTATTCTGGTGGATATCGAAACCCTTCTGAAAACTTTACAACAGCAGCAAAGGAACAGTAAGACGCACAATATTCTCCTTGCGCTCAGGGATCCTACGGGGAAAAACAATAAACTCGACGAGCTGTTGGGCCGTCTTGACACGGCGAATCTCCATCTGTTGATTCAAATGGGGATATCCCATGTGGGCACTACGGAAGGGGTAACTACAGAGCTCGCGACGGCTCACAAAGCTTTGCTGGAAGTCAAGACCACTGGGGAGGAAACCAACGTTCTGCTGAAAGACAGTATCGCGCTTTTGAGCAACCAGATGGGTCAAAGTCGTGTGATACCATCCACTTACCGCAATGGTAGAGTTTCCCTTCCACACTACGTTGTTGATCACGAAGTTGGACGCAATCCCCTAACTTGATTTAGACCAAGGCCTGAACGTGCCAAATCAAACCCGCGAGTTGTTGCTGGAGATAGAGCCAAGGACCAGAAGCGGGGACCACTGTTCGAAACCAGGGCCTGAAGAGGGTGACTTGGATAGCCATCTGACCTGGCGCCGGAACCTTACTGGTGACAAAGCCAAAGTAATTGCGGGAAACTTGTGCTTGGGCACAATTGCCAACACTGATACCTCAGTAGTGAGGTCTACCGTGACTGATAGCACATTCGGGAACGGTCTGCGATTCATCAACGGAAATGTGTCAATGAGTGGAGATCAGGTGAGCTTTGCTCAAGACTTTTGGAAGGATTGATTGAAAGACAGCATGGCAATGTGCATGAGTTCATTTCAAAACACGATCCAGCTCTTGCGGTGGCATGTATTGTAGACGCACCCTGGCTTTGCAGAGAGCATCGACCTAACAAGCTCGTAATGACACCCGAGATAACATTGTGGTCATACACTTGGGCCAAAACGTTTCAGTGCAGGCACCATCAGGTCTTTGACTGTTATCAAGTTGCCGCATTACAAAAGTCGACGCGGGAAATCGGCATTGTCAGCTCTCTTGAGGTGAAATATTGATTTTAGACTGGCCCGGATATTTACTCCGACAATGTTGATTAGAATTGCAAGGAAACATCCACCGAAATATAAGACGTGGAGGCTTTTCATGCTCAAAATTGTTCTGAAACCGAGTCTAGATCTGCAAGGCTAATTGCACATAGGCTCGATCGTACAGCCTCTTCACAGAACTACAGGTATCAATTTTGCCTTCTCGCATCTGATCCACACATTTGGGAAGCGATATGTTGCATAAACCTTCACGTCTTCTTCCCAGATCACTTTCTTGCGCGAAGCAGACATTTCTACGTCAAGTGCCCATGCCAACTTGGCAAGTATAAGACGTAGCTCCGTGTACGCAATGGTTGCGCCAGTGCACCGTCGTGGGCCAATCGAAAAGGGCATGACGGCGTGCTTGGTGTCGTTACTGAACCGTCGATCATACCATTGATGGGTGTCTTGTAGGAATCTCTCGGGGTGGAACTCTCGTGGTAAGAAATAATAATCAGGGCTGCGAGCTGCCGCGAAGTTGCAAGTCTGTACAGTGACCTATGTTCACAGTAAGTCTCAGACTCTCAAAACGGACGGATACGAGTAACATACCCCTGAGGGTACGAAATGACCATCGACTTCTGCACCTGGGCTGTACCTTGGCAGGCCGAACGGCGCTGGTGTCACGAGACGCAAATCCTCCTCAATTACGGCATTAAGGTAAGGACATGCAGACTGGCATGCCTCCACTGTGATGTCGTCGTAGCTTTCGAACGTGGTCCGAACCTCTTCCTGTAATCGCTTCATTGTCTCCGGCGAATCGCACAAAAGCAAAATTGACGAAATAATTGCGTTTGTGACCGGACCCAAAGCTCCTGCCATGAGTGAGTTGGCTTGGGCAACGATCCAGTCGTCGCTGCGCTTCTTGCTTTCTTGTGACACGATTGACCCCTCGAGGGGTATGATGGGTTCCAAGAGGTCTAGATGTCGGACTTTGCCACCTTTTGCAATCCGCGCGCGTGCGTACCCTTGGACAGTTTTGCCGAAGGTGGATATGCCCGATGCTAAAGCCCATGGAATCAAGCAGACGAATAGAGGGAACTTCAGGAGTGGAAACCGTTTCAGTGCCACGATCACTGCTCCCAGATACGACATCTTCCGCGATGCGATTACATCCGGCGTAGGATCTCCTATGATGGGAAAAGTTAGTTAGCCAACTACTTTCTTGTAGTGTCAACTTGGAGCCTCACCGGACTTCATGATCTTCGCCTCCCTGTTATACACCAACTCTCCGGAAATGTCATGGGCGAAGTAATCGACCCACTAGCTGAAGTCAACGGTGCGAATTATGTGGTTGTCACCTTCGAGGAATTACCTCTGTTAAGTTGACTTCGCCCCGTCTCTCAAGTTGCGTGACAAACTCGTCAACAACCTGGTGAATCACACCATGACAGCCCTGGAGAACGCGCGAGCTAAAGGATGGTTGCAGTGCACGCGCAACCTGAGCATGAGTTTCGGGGTTCCTCTCAGCGGCGACACCTAGGTCAGGAAACCCAGTAAATTCTGACAAGTCTTGCATGTCAGTTTTGACGAAGATCTCTCGCCGCCTAATGGTGCTTCCATAAATGTCTTTATAGGCCTGTGGTGTACGAAACACCAAATCGTTTGGCGCAATTCTAACAACATCGCCTGTTCTAGTCAGCATGGGGTTTCGCGAGAGGTGGTGCGTAATTTGATACCGTAAATCTGAAATTGCTGTTCAATTATCCAAGGATATCTTCCGGAAAGCCTAGCCGAGCCCTCCTGGTCAGCCGTATTCTGATGCTACATAGAGTCATAGAGGAAGGCATACCAGGCGTATATGTACCATAGATTGGATACGGCAGCAATTCTAGGTCCAGGATACTTTGATAATGAATGAAACCATAGGAGATATATCCCACGAATTGTAGCGTATATTACAGCCGCGCTGAGAACGATTGCCAGCGGTATCAATATCATGATGGAGTTTATGGTCTTTTTAGTGATTATTCCTCCAGAGAGAAAAGAGCCAGGAGCTCGTAGTAATGAAAAGCGTTCCCACCCCGTATTTAATCCAAGGGTGTAAGTCAAGCGCTACCCTTCTTCCAGTGTTTATCGGGTGATAAGATCTTTTCGACCCATGAGACGCATGGGTAGGGGTACTGGGAATCGCATGTTGAATTCCCATGTGCAGTAGTAAAGCTATGTGCACCTTTGCAATCGTGAATTAGTCTGGAATAGTCCCGTCCGAGAGTTCCGAGTTGCGTTGAACCCCAAAGTTTCTTTAGCGGTCTAATGATTAAGGCCTAGCTAATCATGCGATCGGGTAATAAAACCAAATGGTCAACAGTCCAAGGTTCATTGAGCGTGACCGAACTTGTCGATATTTGAACGGTCTCTTTTGTCAAATTGTTCTTATTCCAACTATGAAGTGCTCAAGTGGTGCTATGAGTGACGGCGGCGGGTCTTGAATGTCGGAGGTAGGGCGGTGCGGGTCGGTGGGCATGTGCCGGTGGGCGCAAACCGGTTTGCCAAGCCGGTGGCGCCCCGGCTCCGTTGATCCTCTTCGTTCTTCGCACCTTTCGTGTGGGGGACGACCGAGTCAAGTTGTCTGTCGGGCCTTTTTGCAGACTTTATGAGAGCAGATAATGCGAAATGCTGCAGTTAATACCCATGGGTAGGCCTGTCATGCACCTCGCAATCTTCACCATCTTTCTGGCCTGTGCAGTTGTGCGTTCATACCGGCGCCAGGGCGCTGGCGGGCAAAATACTCTTAGGTCTTCGACAAACTTTATCTTCGCAGATTACTGCTACTTTTCACCCTACACAAAAAGCGCAATTGAGTTTGCCTGCGCTCTGGTTCACGATCTCTTGCGGCCTTAACGCCTATCAAGGCTTCAGCTACAAAGCTAAGCAAAGCTGATGGCAAAACGTGCAGCGTCCTGACCTGGCATATGAAGAGTGTGTGGGTGAAGTGAATGAAAATGGTGATATTGGGAGATTTTCACTGCGTGAACACATAGAAATTGACTGAGATACAGTACAAGAACCCGCGTTTCAACAAAATTGCCCCAAGCCACCAGGATCTGTTTCTGGCAGAGCTTCCTCGCTGACGAGCACTGAGAGAATTGCTCATCTAACTGTGTAAAATTCAACATGCCGCCGAGCCCATGTAGCCCAAAAATGAAGCAGAGCCATGTAGTCTGCATTGCGTGGTCGGCTGGGTGTAGGCAAAATCAAAATTACCATCATGAAGCTCCAACAAATACATCTGATGTGAGAGCCGTATTTACAGACTTGGAAAGGTTTGGAAAAAGGGGCACGTAATTTCATGATGTGCTCCGTCAAATCGTGGCCTGTGAAAACCATGTCTAAGGCCTTAGGTGCATGATTCATGTCGGGATTCAGTAAGTCGTCGTGGGCGCGTGAAGTTGGTCCCTACTTCCACGTACTCAACTCAGTAGTCGGAGGAAATCCAGCCAGTTTTCCGTGGATTATCGGAAGTAAGGAGTGCCGGTCTGAGTCGAAGTAGGTGGCCGGTATCTCTTGGTCGTGGCTGCAGGGCGACGTGGGCCCAAATCCTCTCACCCGGTTAGAGGCCCGTCCAACGGGTTGGACACCAAGAACTTCCCGCGGCAGGTGAACTATGTACAGTGTTGCAGTGCTATTCTATGACCACATTGTCAATTCCGTGCGCCATTGATCTGGTCCTTGTGCCGTAGGCGGAAAGCCAGCAGCATGGGAGTTTGCTGAAAGTTGTGGTAGCTTTGTGCCTGCTGGGGTTGAGGTGCACCCTCGAAAGCTGGCTCCCGCATGGCATCCAGAACCAATCCGTTCTTGAAGAAAGGCTCCATTAGTGACCAGAAGGGTCGGTGGAACACCCACTTTTGCAAGGTCAGTGTCTGTTCAAGAGATGCACGAGAAATTGAAAACTTACTAGTGGCTCTGGCTGTCCACGTACAGCCTCACTCTTTGACGGTGGGACGTTAAGATACTTTGGAATCTTGATGTAGGTGCTTAGCTGCTGCTTGCCGGTGTTGGGATCCTCGTAAATCTCCATGCCGCGATGGCCGGCCGGTTTTGAGAATGCGGGGTGAAGGTCAACGACCACGACACTGTCAGATGTCAGCAGATATTATGTGTTTTGCAGTCGAAAATGCTGACCGTCCACCGGGCTTCAGCATTAGTGGCAGAGCCTTGGCGACCGGATCTAGTGAAGGTAGAGATTTGAGTGTTGTGCTGATGGTTATGATGTCAAATCGCCTGTTCGCAGTTACTTAGCAGGTGAATGCAGCGGTGTTGGGAGAGATAGGATTACTCCTTGTTCTCCATGTAGGCGGCCATGTCATGGTAATTCATAAGATCGATTTTGCCATATTCGATTTTGCCTTTGAGCGTCTCTCGTTTACTTCGCTCGCGGCCTTTCTCAAGCATGGCTTCTGAGAAGTCAAGGCCGGTCACATGGGCACCCTTTTTCGCGAACATGCGCGCAATTATACCGCTGCAAAATGGCAAGGTCAGCTTGCTTGCGCGTTTCGCGCGTCGCAATTTCAGCTGCTCACCTCCCTGCGCCCAGATCAAGGACGGTCTCGCCCTCTTTCCAGGCGGCCAGGCCGTCAGTAGTCTTGGTTTCAGTTGCGAGCTCCCACACGACAGGCAGCAGACACTGGGTGAACATATCGCTGCCATCGTCTTCGCCGGGGGTGTGGAAGGTCTCCCACTCGTTAGCAATATTGTCCCAGGCCTGCAGGTTGTCTCTGGCGTAGGCGGCCTGGTCTGCCTGGGAGACGTTTGCGCCGTTGACGAGCACCGGCTGGGCCATGACGACGGTCTTCTCCGGCTCTCTCGGGGCGGCTTTGGTGGGTTCTGTGGTAATGTGAGAGGATGGATGGGGAGAAGAGGATCGCGATGAGGAAAACAGCGAGCGCAAGAAATGCTGCATGAAGCGTACCCCTCTTCGCGGTTTGCTCTTTGTTGGCAGCGATTTCCTGGGCAGGTCAGCAAACGGAAGCGGGTGTGGATGTTTCATCAGGCTCTGACGCGGCGACGCACGGTAGATGTATTCGTATCGCGAGAGAGCTGGCGGTCGAAGTTGAATTGTTCGGAGTCGCAGCAAGGCAGCACCAGCAGCACCGTAAATGGAAAAAAGACGATGACTGACTGCCAGGATGGGATTCCCCACTAAGGTAGGTGAGAATTGAAGGCAGCTGCGAGTGGCTTGACGGGGATGTTGGAAGTCGGCAGGCTGACACCAAGGCAGCTTCCTGTCCATTGTATAAGGTACGTGCACAGCCCCCAAGTCAGGTGTCTGGCTCGCTAGCGCCGCAGCGGCTCGATTCCTCGAGCTCACCTCGAGTCAGCACTGACTGCATGCACTGCGCCTACTTTGTGACTCCCCAGATCAGCCGCCCCGGCCGTGCCTGCCAATGGAAATCGAATGGCACTCGACTTGCGCTGCCCTCGTACGCGGAAGCCACGAGCTGCCATGCAGTATGCCCTTCCACGCCCACCCGCAGCGACCTGAGCATACCGGACAGATATAGCTAGCTCAACTGCAGGACGACTGCAGTACTTATGGTCAGTGAATGACCCCGATTTTCTCCAATTCTGCTCAACCACAAAATTCACTATTGGCTGTTAAAAAGTGTCGATTCTTGCATAGGATCTCTGGTTGGCCAAACCCCGCACCCTCATGTACTGTAGTCCACCAGCAGTTGATGAGATAGCTGATTAGCTCAACAGCTCAACTGCTCTTGCTGCTGATCACGGTATCTACGGCATCGTCCAAGACTTTCCATGCAGCCCCAAACCCCACCTCTGCAGTCTCACACTGCATCAAGCAGAAGCTCGTCGGCCAGCGCACACCAAGCCCACCATGCCTGAGGCACCGTCAAGACTATGGCACCTCGCTCTGCCGTCTCCTAATTATCTGCTTCGTTCGTCTCCTCTATTAATACCGCGCCATCACTAGTGTCAGGTCTCCCGTGCTAGCCTCCAGGATGGTTCAGATGTTTTCCACCGCCAGTCCGGCCCGCTCCAAGGAAATGGATTTCGAAGATCATCCTCGACCAGACGGCCAATCCGCCAAGGCTCAGGGCATCAACTATGAACTCCTCTGCCGGGAAATCAATGACCTAGAACCTCACGAGAAAAGACAGTGGGAGGGCTGGAACGGGAAAGAATTTGCCATTCTGCCTCATACCGATGCCGCCGGGAACACATACTACATTGGCGATCTCTACGAAGGCGTCAGGTGCAAAACACAGTGGGAAATCAAGGAGTCCGTCGTTTTACTCTTTGAAATGGGAGTGCTTCCACTGACACTCCGCCTCGCAGGCCAAAGCCGTACCTGAAATTTATCAAGAGTCTCTCGCAGACATTGCCCCATCTGGCTTATCTGGGCTACTGGATGGAAGTCACCGCTGCACCGCCCAAGTGGAAATATCTGCAGTGTTTCCCAGGGAAGGAACGAGGCCATAGAGAAGAGCGAGCAAAGCGATCTCATGTTTGCGTCGTCGACTACACGGGCAACCAGGCCAAGAAATCACCGGACTTCATCAACGACGTACCCGGGCTGGAACGCTTCCTCCATCATCAACCACAAACCTCCACGACTGCTCAAATTAGGCTCATCGTTGCCGAGGATCTCTCCCGTGATCTTGTCGAGTTGCTGGGCTCCTTCTACGATATTGATCCTCAGTTCTTCCAGTCACACATTGACGACTATCTGTACCACAATCCCCGTGACCCGTGGGTCGAGCTTCCCAGCCTGGATATCGATGCCCGTCAACGCAACCATTTCACTTTGCAGTATCTGCGAGCTCGGTACTTTGAGACCGAGGCAGAGTTCAAAACAGCCGAGTACGACAGCGGCATGTTCAATGTATTGCGGCGCATCGATAGCGATAGGAGCCGCGAACGCTTGAAAGGCGGTCTGCTGGCCAAGACTGGTGACAGCATCACCTTGACACGATCCAAAGCTTCGCTGTGGTGGAAGCCACGCAAGGATGCGTCTGAGCCCGTCACAGGTTTGTTCGACTGGTGCCCTGCGTCAGGTAATGGCTAACCACCCCTACAGCCATCTTGCTTGTCGATCCTACAGTCTCTAGTGGTAAGCCTGTATGGGGCGGCTATCGTCCATTCCAGCAGACTCCCTCCATGAAGACATGGCAGCAAAACGAAACCCAGCCTGTCGATGCACCTCCACAAGGAACATTGTACGACGACGTCGTGTATTGGAGTCAGCGCATGGCTGCCCACGAGCTCGATCTGGTCCGCAAAGACGAGCGCAACATCGCCCTCGGAATGTATCGCTTGGTCATCGTTGACTGGCTGCGGGCCCTGAAATATGTCACGACCACCCTCACTAAGATCGAGTGGGAATTCGAGAAGCCTCACTGGGATGACAACTTCAGCAACATCGATAACATTCTCAAGAAGCTATCCCCATGGCGACGCAATATTGGCTACTACCAGGCCATGATCAGCGAGGCCATAGCGCGCCTGTTTCCTCCCGAGATTCACGCACCTATCCGGGGGATGCAACCTGGCGGCGCCATCATTGAGATGGATAGCCGACCTCCTCAGCCTATCGCGGAAGAGGACAACCACGGCATCCGAGCTCTTTGGACGGATTTCAGGAATGTGAAGCAGCAAATGAACGAAAGCCAAGCTCGCATCCGCACGATCGAGAACATCGCCATGAACGGCATCAACGCCGAGGAAGCCAGGCGAGCAGTGAAGCAAAATGGGAACCTGACCCGACTCACTGGCCTAGCGACCATCTTCATCCCGCTCAACTTCACCTCCAGCTTCCTCAGCATCTCCCCGGACTTCTCCGCGGCCAAGATGAGCTTCTGGCTCTTCTTTGCCATTGGCATTCCTTTGACGCTGGCTGCGCTCTTGATCGTCGACCTGTCGCACCCGAAGGGGAAGGGGTTCTTGGTAAAGAAATGCGGACAGTTGAGGGAGAAATTTGCAAAGAAGAAATTTGACGAGCCGATCCTCCCGACTAGCAACGACACACTACCACCGCGACCGAAACCACCGAGACAGTCGACCATCGAATGGTTCCATTGGTTTGGAAAGCTGAATGATAAACGAAATTGACGATAATGACGAGAAGCATTCTGTATACACACACACATACACACACTTGAGGACTTAGCGGGCATCAGCTTAGCGTTCCATGGCATTCCAGCATATTATGATTGTGTTCTTGAGCAAGTAATGATGACGACCGGACGACATTTACGAGATATGTAACCAAAGATTTTCAGCACCTAGGACATAGGGAATAGAGTTTATATATACAATTGTCAACATCAATAGAATACCTTCACACAGCATTATCTTACCTGTATTTCTGACATCTTCACAAGTCCTATTCAGTCAAGCAGCACTACGCATTCCATTTTCTCTCTGTGAGAGAGGCGCGCTTCCTGCTGGAACATTTGTGTTAACGTTCTGGTGATGTGGAAGCAGCGAGGTAAGGAAGTGAAAAAGATGCAGCAAGATGAAGCCATGAAGTTGCGGATCATCGAGGCCGCCGAGAAGACGCATTCTCGGTCAGACCTAACACACTACCCGCAGACGGGCTTAACCTCGTCGCATTTCAGCTTGCGTTGCCAATATGTGATGCTGTGCCCGAATTCAGATGCACATCACCCGGTTCTATCGGTGAGGGGAAAACCATCCATGATACGAGCGCATGTTGCTGAGGGCCTAAAATCGACAAACCTGAGGCCAGATTTGGCTTGTTCGGTTTGGCAGCAGCGCTGTCCTTCGGGGGATCATCGACCAGTAACACCTATAGATATGGCTATTACACATCTCAGAATCTTTAACATCTTTCTAGCCTATATAACTATACGTCTATACTAGTACTAGGGCGTGGGTAAAACAATCCTTAAGTCCTTAAAAGTTTACCTTCGTAGATTAATAATACTCTTCAGTATTAACCGAAACTAAAATTGAGAGTTTTCTTAAGCTCTAGTTCAAGATTATCATCCATCATTCGATAAATAACCCAGCCAATCATTCTCATGTTCTCAAGAGCAACTAGAAATAAATCGATCGTGCGTGATTATGCTTCTGGGGTATCATCAAATCCATCCTGCTCCACTCCACTCCCTCACCGGCAGCCATGTTTGCTTTGCCGTTCAGTGATATCGCAATTACCCAGAAGCTTCACCACCAGTAAACCCCAGGTGCTGGCAGACCGCTCTTAAACTCCTCACTCAACTTTTCCGAGATGCCCTTGGCGAGAGCTTCCGCCGGAGGAGCACCAGGTCCAGCAGGGGACCTTTTTGAACCAGGGAATCTGCTTGACCGGGTCACATGCCGCCTTCGCAGCCTCAAGGTCTTCGTTGGTAAAAGCCCCCCCCCCAACGACAGCTGCGACAGGCAAGATTTCACTCTGACTGCCCAAGCCAGAAGCGGGCTTCACATTTTCTCCCTTCAACAGGGCAGGCAGCTCAGCTACAGCAGTAGCCCGGGTGTTGGCGATGTGGACCACTTGTTCATGGTTAGACAGCTTTCTTATCAGTCGATACTATGTTACGAACACTCATACTTGTCTGCAATCAACTCGGCAATGCGCTTGCACAGGTCCGGATGAGCTCCGCAGTAGATGATCGGAATACGAGACATATTGGTGCCGAAATTCAGAAGATTGCTTGTGTTGACTGAAGGCTGAGAGACATAAAGATGAAAAAAAGGAGCACTTTAAAGTTTGTAGTCATATTTAAAGACTCAATATCGTCATTCAGTTGTTGCCTGTCTCAACAGTGAAGTTCATCGCCGACCTAGGAAATTGCCATCTTGGGAAACTGCGGTTAGTGTCCTGGTCCCACCTGCAAGGTCCCTGATTCAGGTTGCTTACCTGACTACAAGAAGCCGCTTTGCTGAATGATTCAACTATTTGCCAAAAAGGGCAAAAGAATAGGACGCAGAATGACGCACGTCGGTGGCCTAGATGCAATGACTGGCGTGATTGAGACCGACACCCGTTTGGATTTTTCACAAATCAAGTGCGAACTTGATCTTGATCTCGTTGAACGACCCACATCATGCCACTTCGGGGTCGGTCCGATTCAACAGTAGTCGGATCTTCATTGCTCTTGAAAACTGTCGGCCGCCACTGAGCAGGCGATGTTCTCTCATGCCACCGAGATGGGCTCCGCTTCCGGCCGGTGATGTCGGATATCCGAGCACGAGAATTCGACGTGTGTATGGACTTGTACTTGAGCTTGATGCCAAAAGTTGTAAGAATCTGTTATTGAAAGCCAGCTATGAACAATACACGCCCAGCGTAGTCTGTTGAACAACTCACTCCATCCACCTCATATTAACTTCCGTCACTGAACCCTTAGTCGATCTCCACAGGTCTCTTGTTCACATAATAACCTGGCTTATCCACGGGAGATTCTGGATCCTCACCCCTAACATCGTGGCTTCTGGAGTATCCAGGCAGTTGTGGAAAGGTCGTGCTACCATGGAGTTCGGAAATCGTCTGCTGCTTCTTTTTAAGATACCTGTACCACAACATAACGCACACAACACACGTCACGCCGACGAGCCCCACTCCGACACCTATGCCCGCTTGAGCCCCAACAGAAAGACTGTTTGGGTCCACAACGCTGACTTCTGGGACGTTGCTCGCCGACGCGTCACCTGCTTTCGTCTTGTCTGTCGGTCCCGGCTCTTGTGCGGTTGGCAAGACGCGCGCTTGTGTTGTAGCAGGCGCCTCGGGGGTAGTTGTGGTTAACTCGGCTTCTGTCGTCGTTGAGGCTAACGATGTGGAGGATGACTCGGAAGAGGACGCGACTGAAGTTGATAATCGGGTTGTCGAAGACTTGGAGGAAGATGAACTACTCGGTTCGGGCTCGTCGGTGATGTTGAAGAAGGCCGAAGAAAAAGCCTGTCCCTTTTTCACTTGTCCTTGAACGGACTTGTCTCCCTCGAAGAGCCAGAAGAAGAAGACATTTGAGGCGCCCAAGTCGAGTTCCTCAATGTCAACCTTCCAATCAAACTCTCTCTTTGGACCTGTTGTAGTCTCTGGACTAGAGTTAGATGTGCCTTGTGAGACAAACTACTCCATCAACTCTTACCAACAATAATCGGCCCTATACTCGCGGAACCTCCTGCTATGGCCTGCTGCCAAAGGGCAATGGTGTATTTCTCGAGTTTAGTGTTGTATTGAACCTTCCGTGTCTCCCCAATTCTCCAAAGCTCCCTACTCTGAGACGGGTTGAGGAACTGGGAAGACACCAAAGGGAGAGTGGTGAACAGTAACACAGCAAGGAAGAGCATGTTGGATTGGCTTGCTTTTCCGCAAGATGAGAGGGAGAGCCGTTGACTCTGACATTTGTTCTTTTATTAAGATGCTCCAACTTGATCGTGGTCCTTGCCGAGTTGGAACCCGACAGCTTGGGACCCCGGCCCACTCCTTGGTATCATGTTGGAACAACAAACAGCGACACCCTGCTCAACGGGACCAACCACGTGCGCAGATCGTCGAGGCGCAATTTGCAGCCTGCTGCGATAAGCCAGGGTTGACACCGACATCGTTGGAAAAAGCAAGCAACCATTTGCTCGTCAAGGCCATCGTAAGGGGACCACTGCGACCACAGCACATCCTCGAGTCACGATATCCGGACTTTCGTAGAGAATTCAAGCTTAAAACTAAACATAAAGAGCCAATGTGGATTTTCAATAGTGGATAGACCACCAAAGGGGGCTTTATCGCGTTGCCGATGGTTTGGAAAACGGCTACGGCGCTTGCGATTCAGCTCCCTGCTAATGGCACAATCACAAAGGTCTAGCGATCCACTTTGCCTGCAGTTTAACCCAACTTGCACCAACACAAACTCGTATTGCCAAGCGATGGCGTTAACCGCTTCAGGTCCAACACCACGACCAAAACTCAGCTCCGTGAGGCAAAGCAAACAATCAAACCATTCCCCTTTTCTTCCCTCTGCTCCGGGCCCCCTTGGCTCCACGTTAATTTGGAAACTCGCCTGCAAGTTGTTTGCTTCGGCGGGCTACGGATATGCATCCCGGCGCAGTTGACGCAGGAGAGCCATGCCGCACACTATGCCCCCCCATGCATCGTGGCCTATCAGTGGAAAGCCGCCATTCGCAAATTTGGACGTTGGGGGCTGGCTGATCCGGCCCCATACATCCCGCCGGGTAAGATTTGACAACCCACACTATCAAGCCTGATACGGCCTGTTTGCTCAAATCTGCTTTTTAAGAAGAAGCGCCCGGCACTCGCGGAACCCATGGTGCAAAAATTTTAGGATACCTCGTTCTTCTTCTTTTCCCCATTTGTTTTGCTGCGAGGAGATGAAGATGCATTTCATGCCCGTCAGGTCGACGTCCAAGAGGGATCTTTGTATCCTCGGGGCTGTGTTTGTCACACTGGTACTCTTCTTGCATAATCCATTCCTTGGCCAGATCCGGCAAAGGCGGAGCTCATCCTTGCCAGATTTGATGAGCAAGATTAACAACAGCACACTGGGTGTGAGTCTCTTCTTGGCCTCTGGGTTTGATGTTGTACTGACACACGAATCTGCAGTTTGAAAAGATCTTCGTCATCGGCCTTCCGTCAAGGACAGACCGCCGGGATGGTGTCCTCCTCCAGGCCGCTCTTAGCGACATGGAAATTGAGTTCGTCGATGGTGTTCCCGGTGACAAAGTGCCGGACAAGGCTATCCCTAAGACGAGCGAACATGATAAGCTCAGTAATGGAGCCATTGGCTGCTGGCGCGGACACATGAACGCCCTTGGCGAGTGAGACGCGCCTTTCCTTCCAGATAACTGACTCCTTCGCTGACCCACTCCATAGAATCGTTCGTCGCAACTTGACTTCTGCTCTCATCCTCGAAGATGACGTCGACTGGGACATCAGGATCAGGCATCAGTTACACGACTTCGCCTTGTCGACGCAAGCACTTATCCAACCCTTGGCGGAGGCGCCCTTGTCCTACGTCGACCCAAGCTACCCAGTACCAACCGACAACACTCTGGGCAGGATACCCGACATCCCATTTGAGCACCTCCCCGCCACAATCCTACCGAAAGTCTCTCCATACGGCGATGACTGGGATCTTCTCTGGATCGGACACTGTGGCATGCACTTCCCGTTCGAGGACAGCAAGACTGTGCCCAAAGCCCGCATCATCCACACAAACGATGTCACTGTCGCCCCGAAGAAGAACCTTTGGACCTTCAACATCCCCTTCACCCTAAAGGAGAAGTATCCGGAGCACACCAGGGCTGTCCACCACGCACAGGAGGGTGTTTGCACACTTGGCTATGCAGTCAGTCAGAAGGGCGCGAGGAAGCTGTTGCAAGAGGTCGCTTTGAAGGATGTCAGTGATGCTGCTGATATCCTTCTGAGGTTCTTCTGTGAGGGAGCCAAGGGAAGGAAGCCTCATAATTGCTTGACAACGCAGCCGGCTCTCTTCCATCACCATCGTGCGGCTGGTCCTCTCAGCTCAATGAGTGACATTGGAAACCATGGCGATGGGTTCAGGGATCAGAGTATGACAGACATGGTGAGGTGGAGTGTGAGGCTCAACGCCGATGCGTTGCTGGATGGGAGGACAGACTTCATGGATCAATATCCCGACGACAAGTAGAAGAAACCAAATATCAATAGCATTTGTTTTGTTTAGACTAGATATTTTGCCGTTTCAACGATTGTGGTTAGAAGTAATTTCACGTACGTGAACAAGTATATCTGGATCTTTGGTTCTGAGAATGAAAGTAGCAAACCCAAAATCGACCTCACCCTTGGTGGTCACTGTGATATTGCTCTCATTTTCAAATCTTGTGATTCAACTGTGAGAGACCTCATGGAGAAGTGAGTGTATTCATAAGCGTAGAGCTGAGCCGCAATTCTCCGCAAGGTTGTCATTGAGGATGTACTGCAGGCTGTGATGCTGGTTCATCCAGATGAACAGTGGCAGGCGCTTCCATGTGTTTAGCTATGGCATGTATTCAATCATCCTCCGTTACTGAAGCAATACTATAGCCCCCGAGACTTGGTAAAAATAACGTAAGAAAGGACGTCGTAGTTGACACCATGCGAATGGATGTCATTCATGATACGAGGTGTACCAGGAATGTCTCGTAATAGAATCCAAGCTAATTAGTTTTCAGCCGGATCCTGTGGTGAGAATTAGCTGGTATCCGTCGGAGTTGAGGCGATATGCCGCCTAGAAGACTCCTACCTGATGAGGGAAGTTTTGACGTCTTCCAAGTTATGTCGAGTTTATTGACGATCCGGTCGATGGCATCCCTTAGTACCTCTGTGTATAGACTTGCTAAGTCCCGTTCCTCCGCGCCGCGATCCCAAGACTTCAAGTCAGCCTGCTTTACGGACTTCGCGATGATAGACTCGCCGTGGAAACTCCAAAACTCTCTGAACATTACGACATCCAAGCCGTCCTTCGGTTTTATGAACGGCGATGAAGGAGCAGCGTTCCCAGGGAGCAAAAGTTTCCACAGTTGGAACCACTGTTTGTTCAACCCAAGGCCTTTACGATTCCTGAATAGTTGCCTCCTCTGGTCGTCTGAGACACCTTCAAAGGGAAACACCTCTTGAATAGCACATATTCTGTCAACGATGTGTCGATCTCGGCCTCTGGCCGTAGGAAAGTCCCGTTTGCAGATGGGGCAATAAAATGGTATCCGATGATGCTGCCAGAGATGCTCCTTGACCTCTTCGATCCTCTTCATACGATGGCGCTTCAAGCATTCCGAGTATCTCGACGGATCCTTCTTGAAAAAGGGGCAAGCAAGCTCCAGAAATTCCTTTCCCTTCATTTCTACTGCTGGGAGACTCGCTGGCTCCCCTCCTTGGTGGCTAAGCTGCGGCGGATCACTGTAGCTCGGACACCGTGCTTTTCTCCAACTGGTAAAGCACCTCAAAGCTTTCTGGGAAGTTGTTTCGATAATTGTACGAAGCGGGTGGTTGGTATCCAGTGAGGAGTCCAAACTTATTCGTTCATCAAAGCACAGCCATCTATCCTGATCACTCCGAGATACCACACTACAATCTTCATTCCAATCAGAAAGTTCGATGTCGAAGTCACCTGGAATGGAGTCTTCCGTGATCCGAGGTTCTTCAGGGACCATAGCAGGAGCGGGCGACACCGTTGCCTGCCAGTAACGTATGTATGTGGAGTAGCTCGCTCCCATGTTGGTGTTTCGTTGAGCTCCTCCGTATGGTTGAAACATAATGGATTTCTCCTCTGGGGTGAAGTGTACCCCCGTGTTGTTGTAGTGCGTGTAGTCGGATCGGAGTTGGCTCTCCATTCTATGAGTACCCCCCGAAACAACATGCACCCAATCTGGAGCTTCTCGTCTGGAATCTTGCTGCGGCGTCCGATGAGTGAAATCTTCACTCGAGATTTCGTCAGGCTGCCCTCCATTTCCTATTCTTATCTCAATATTCATGAAGTCCTCGTTAAATCTGCTAGAATGTAGGCTTCGGGAACCCAAATCATGATTGGCGTCGTTGTCGAGCTTATGTAGTGTTACTCCTATAGCTTCCACCTGTTCTTGATTCAAGCTTGAATTCGTCCATCCGCATACACTTGATAAGGGTGTTGCGTCCAAGAGTTGGGAGTCATGGGTCCCGAGCCATGAGTCATTCTGGGAGGCACTGTTCGTAATCAAATACGGAGCTTTGCCCACCATCTGACGCTCAATGTAACTCCACGGAATGGCATTTCCATGCGTTGTCATTGACATTGAAGCCATCTCCAAGAGTGGCTTTTGGTGTTGATAGTCGCTTGTGGTTCCGCCAAGGGCTCCCGAGATCAGTTGCTGAATTGTCGGAATAACCAAACTCCCTTCAAACGCACCGTCGCCTTTGAACAGTCGAAGTCTTAGTGCAAAAATTGTATATAAGGGAGATCGCACGTCGAACAGAGACTGCATTTGAGACACTGAGCCATCGAGGCAGTCTGCTCTGACAGGCTCGATTGAGTTGGAATCGTATCCGATGACATTTGGGAGATATACGAAGGATATTTGCGCTAGTTGATAGTACGATTGTATGTGCCGTAGTGTTTGTGAGACTTCAAGAGGCGAGTTGAAATCGATGCAGAAAGAGTCGCACCAAATATACTGCAGGCCTAAAGCGACTGCCAAATTGCAAAGAGCCAAAAATCGCTGGAAACCCGGCTTCCGAGGGGCTAATTTGGCATGAACGTCCTCGAAGAGCACCTCTTCATTCCAATCTTCCTTCCAAGTGCAAGAAGCAGCAAGAAATGGAGGAAAGAAATCCTGGAAAGACTCGAATCGATCTAGATCGGGCCTGAAAAGCCTGATGACCATATGGCTCTGGATTTCGGCATTTTCAGATTTGAGCTCGTCACTTCCGCAATGCATCGTGGCGTGGATTTATGGATGCCACAAACAGGGCCAATATGCACCCCGTTTGACTCGTCGTCGCTCGTACTTTGACTCAATTGTCGTCTCAGAGCTTTGCGGAACGGAGAGTAATAACGAAAATACGCGGAGGATCCAGGCGATTGGGATACGAGCAGCTTTTGGCGGAAATGCAAGGCGTGAGCCGAGGGCACATTTGTGCTGGGGCGAATATCACCTGCACCCTTCGCCCGAAAGTGTCAGTCGCTCCTGGCCGCGTTCAGTACAATGTCGCTGTTGAGCGACCGAAAATCGCGATTGATACACTGGGCGGCTGCCTTCACCAAAGGCAACTAGCAGAAAAGAAGCTCTGAGGCAGAGGTCGGCGACGAGACCGAAAGTGTCAAAATCTTAGGATCAATGAGAGAACGAAAGTGGAATGAAGGAGTTCTGAGATGTTATGTAAGGCGGGGTCTGCTGGATCGTCAGCAGGCTGTAATTGTGCGAACCACTAGGCGCCAGTGCACCCTCCAAGTTTCCGTCCTACATAAGATTGCGCCCCTTATAATCTGAGCCAATCATACTTCAGTGCGCTCACACAATATTTTGTTCTTTCATTCTGCGGTACATCAATCATCCCGTGACCAGGCGAATGACGGGTTATCATTGCGATGACATAGCTGGACTTATCCGAAACCGTGGCCTGTGATATTTCCCGGCTAAAATGACTCCTCTGCGACTGACCTCTCAACTGATTCACCCTGGTTGCTTTCTGTTATCTGTGTGGCAAGAACAATTTCATTAGCTAAAATGGACATATGGAAAACGGGAGAACGCTTGAGATTGCCATCTGATCGCTGTACGCTAAGCCGCGTGGGGGCATTGGCATGAGGCTGGCCCTTCCCTGAGGCCAGTCATACACTCACTCACACGGCAGCCCTTATACTCGAACGCCTCGGCCGAATCAAAGTGCAAATTTATGTGCTTGCATACAATTATGGGATTTGATTCGTGGTCGCCTGCTGTTAGCTCCTGTAGTTGTATGAAGTAGACTGATGAATGTGCTAGATTGGGTCTTAAGATGTTGGATCTCTAAAGATCAGGCTGGGCTCTCGTGAGGGCAAATCAACATCGTCAAATGACAGGCCGGGAGGATTCTTGTATCACCTTGAGCGCAGTTGCTATACTTAGACGAAGAATCCAGGTGCTGCCGACATCGACTGGAACACGCCTTAAGTTGGGATAGCAAAACGTGAGACGTGAATACATAGTAAGCCATTTTCCACTTGTTTCTCACATTTTTTTTAACCAATTTTACTATACACCCGCTTAGCCCGGTTCAAGCGGGAACCTTGAGCTTTCCCTGAAGTTTCGTAGCAGACGTACATAGATTAGACACGCTTTTGAGTTGACAAGTGTGATAACGATTAAGGCGAAAGTGTTAGATCACAGAGTATATCACTTCCGAGAAGGATCGATTCAAAGAACATGACCTTCGGACTGACTCGACATCCAGTCCTGGCTCTTTTTTGAGGTATCGTTGTGTCTTGTGGATTGGCACTCTTGAGAATCGGTCATCACAAGTATTTATAATAGCTTGAATGTTGTGTCCTGGAAACTTGGGCGTTGGCTAGTCCATCGAGTCTCAAATTCATATGGTTTATGGGGTTGCTCGGCTTTCCAACTTTTTGCACTGCATTCAAATTCATATTGTGCAGCTTTGGCAGCTGGCTATGATGTTTCCGTGATACGGGATTTTTCAAGACAGCAGACAGAAAAAGTCAAAAAACACTTCGGCGCAGTAATAAAGGGTGCGACTTTGAGAACCGTCAGATGCACTATGTTAGACAATCCAGCAAGTACCTACCCTTCAAGACACGTGTGATAGGACATTTGGAGATTCCCGTTTCCGCACTTCCTCACTAGACACTACAGGTGCTCGACTGCAGAATAGCATTTAGATCCCAGTGACATCTAATTTGGTTACCTTCAACATTTTTACCAACTTATACTGATAACACAATATAGGGCGTTGATGATCATTTTGCTCAATTGTCTCTCCGCGTTTGGGGTGATTTGACATAATTATGAGATCCAAGCCGCAGTGAACTTGGGCCGTAGGGTACAAGATAGAGTCCATTTGGATATATTTGATTACTCACATCAAGGTTTCGTGTACAAGATGGCGAAGGGCTCACATCGATGGTACTCCTTATCAGGCCCGCCAATGTAGAATCATGTTGACAAAGAAGAAAGTTCT